CTAAAAATTATTTTTGCAATTATTTATGCATTTATTTTTATTATATGTGCGTGTATGTATATCTATATCTGCATCTACATATACATATATTTGGACAGGGTGCTGTTCTGTCACCCAGGCTGGGCAGATTACCCAAGCACGATCATGGCTCACTGCTGCCTCTGCCTCCTGGGCTCAAGTAATCCTCCTACCTCAGCCTCCTGAGTAGCTAGGACTACTGATGTGCGCCACCACACCTGGCTAATTGTTCTTAGTAGAGATGGGGTCTCACCATGTTGCCCAGGCTGTTCTCAAACTCCTAAGCTCAAGCAATCCACTTGCCTTTGCCTCCCAAAGTGCTGGGATTACAGACATGAGCCACTGAGCCTGCCTAATTATTTTTATATTTGCTTATTGTTACTATGCACACAGGACTCACAAAGCAGGCCGGAGACTGTGCTCCTTAGAAAAGGAAGCTTCTAAGGTTAGTCCTTGGCTGGCACCTGGAAATGTCAATTTGGGGGCTATTCCCCAATAACAGGGGCTTCCTGTGCCTAAACTGAGCCAACATGAGGTTTATGCCACACGCTGCTGTCCTGCTGGGAGCCTGGAATTTGAATAAGTGCCAGGCAGGGGTGCCAGACCCCAGCACCCCCTGGGCACCGCGTCTCTCATAAGCTTCCTGTTGGATGACATGCATGGTCACAGCCTGATGCTGGAGGAGCTGAGCCCCTCTTGGGACTCTGTGGGAGTGGCTCTAGAAGTGTTCGCCTGGTTGCCCTGGACCTCCCTCCTCCACCCTCTCCTCTGCTGTCCATGTTCCACATTATTTCTCTGCAACAACGCACAGTGGTCCTGCTGGGCATGAGTCCTGGGAGTGCTCCCAGCGAATCACCAAGTGGGGGTGCTGCTACTGGGGACCCTAGTGCTGGTTATAGACATGGGGTGGAAGGGAGTTATTAAAACTGCCACCCAGGTTTCAAAGACACTCCCATTTTAAAGGCCCTTCTTAGTAAAGGGGAAGATTTCAGTCATGAGGAAAGGAAAGAAAATATTCCAGACACCACGGAGAGCACAGCCACATGGCGGAGCCTTCTGTGTCCTGCCGAGGAAGGAGAGGCAGGTGGCGGCAGGCACGGCCCAGCAGCTCACACCTCACCCGGGCTCTGCTCTTTCTGACCACCTTCCCTGGTGTGGTTTCCTCCAGGGACTTGCTGCTTCTCAGCAGGGTGACCGTCCCTGCAGCGCCTGACAGATCCTGGGAACACCAGGGCCCACCCTGTACTGGCAGCCTCTCCTGTTCTCAGACCCCGGTGTGAGCACTGCAGTCCGTTCTCAAGGTCAACCTGATGTTAAACAGGTGACTGGTGGCAGCAAGTGAACACTGCCCAGGCAGGATGTGCATTTCCTGGGAGCTCATCAGCAAGGGGGAGCTCATCAGCAGGGGGGGGGGGCCTCACAAAAAGCCCCCAGCTTCCCTTCCCCACCCACACTGCCCAGAACCTAGTACCTTAGGCAAAGAAGAAAGACCAAGACACATCAGAAAGCACTTCCCATCAGGGCAGACGTTGGCAGCTCTGACTAAGTACCCCAGCACGGACAGGGCGCCTTAGACAAGACGGCTGTATTCCTTCCCGCCATTCCTACCACACCATGTGTACAATTCCTTGCTGATACATTAAATCAGTTTCTATTGTAATGTCAAGTCCTTGCACTTCAGGTCAAATAATAATGCATTTTTAGAAGTGAAGTACTCTTTACTTTCAAAATAGAGTAACGCTTGAGGCTGGACGCTGTAGCGGATGCCTATAATCCCTGCACTTCAGAGGCCACAATGGGAGGATCACTTGAGCCCAGGAGTCTCAGGCTGCAGTGAACTCTGATCACACCACTGCACTCCAGCCTGGGCAACACCGTGAGATCATGTTTCAAAAAAAAAATTACAGCATTGAAAGCTCAGTCTTCAGATTTGAATGTTTTTAAAAATAATATGTTTTGATATTTCCAGTAACTCAAAAAATAATATGCTTTGATATTTCCAATAGCTCATAACTATATCAGTTTTTCTTCAATTCAAGCTAGTTTGTCTTACCCCATACCTATATGTCTGCATGCCTCTAGGTCTAAAAAGCTATAAAAGAAAAGAAAAGGATGGAACATTTTCTCAGTTAAGAACTTAAGTTCAATAACGGTTTGGGTTAACACAATTGTCAACCTGAAAACAAATCTATAGCAATTGGTACTTTATCTACTAGGTCTCATCACAGTCTTTTTTGACAAAGATAGCGATACAGAAGATCGCAGTGAGTACAGGTATTGATCGACTTACGACCTATGCAACTTACGACCATTCGACTTTACGACCACAATCGCTAGCCACGACTGCTCCGCGTCTGGCAGCGCAAACGCTGCCCAGCTGAGCGTACGACAGTGCGGACCAGCTTCCGGCAGCACTACCATCTCCGCGTGCACCATTTCAACTGTTATCCCAGACTCGGTACAGCAATTTGTTTTGTGTCTTGGATATTTTGCATCAAACCCCTCCCAATAAACTTCTTTTTTTTTTTGAGATGGAGTTTCGCTCTTGTTACCCAGGCTGGAGTGCAATGGCGCGATCTCGGCTCACCACAACCTCCGCCTCCTGGGTTCAGGCAATTCTCCTGCCTCAGCCTCCTGAGTAGCTGGGACTACAGGCACGCGCCACCATGCCCAGGTGATTTTTTGTATTTTAAATAGAGACAGGGTTTCACCATGTTGACCAGGGTGGTCTCGATCTCTTGACCTCGTGATCCACCCGCCTTGGCCTCCCAAAGTGCTGGGATTACAGGCGTGAGCCACTGTGCCCGGCCCCAATAAACTTCTTATACATTTCGAAGCAATGGACCCAAACATCGAACGATTTGCAAGGATTGAACGGATGGCGCACGATGTGTTTCGTCCATATCGTGAAATTTATGAAGAAAAAAAGAGACATACAATTGAGACAAAGCTCACCATGTTTATGAAAAAACCAACTCCGGTAACCCCAACTGCTGCCTCAGATGACGACATCAACGATCCGCAGCCAAACACCAGAGGCCAATAAAATGTTTTGTACATGTTTATAGATTTTGATATGTTTTGCAATTGGGAAAATGTTTCCTATGGTATTTTTTACACCTGTATTTTGTAATTTTGTATGTTTTGCAAATATTAAACCAGCTGTACTTAATGCAGTGTTTTACTTAAACCTGACAAATATAAAAATAAGAAACAAAATGATGTAGAGATGATACAAATGGCATAAAATGAACAGAGAAAATTATGATATATAACAATAATGAAAGAAAATTATGATAAAATATGACAAAGATTTTTATAACATCATTTCACAGTGCTGTACATATAGCCTACTCAACTTACGACCAAATCGTGTTACGACCGGTCTGTCGGAACCAATCGTGGTCGTAAGCCGAGCACTAGCTGTACCAGGTAAACCTGTTCAAGATCGATGCAGGCATGCTGTGGCAGAGACACGGCCATGCCTGTCTCACCGTCTTTTATGAGGAATCATAGTGCACCCACTCTACATAATCAGAAAACAGGAACTAAATGTGGATTGTTATAAAATCCCTTAGAGTGACGCAGGTTGTCAGATGACTGGTAAACCCCAATTCTATGAATGGCATAAAAACAAGTTACCAACACTCAACATTTTAAGGGAACTTGATTGGCTGCAACCAAATGAGAGAGGCATATTTTAAAACAGGAGGCTAAAATCTAAAATGTTTTGAATTTCCAGTAAGCACAGGAACAAACACACATGTCCATGCTCCCAGTGCCCTGCACACAGACCCACACAGACCAGAAAGAATGCCTTTGGAATTCAGAGGAGGTTGAGACTCCAGATCCTGGTATGGCACAAAACTTAGGTAAATTCACTGAGATGTCACATCTGTAGCTCCCAAATGGCAGTGTCGAGTATCTCCTCTTCAGCTGCATACATTGTCCATGGCTCTAGGCATGCAACTCACCAAAGAATCTGTCTCTGTGCCCTACAAATCAATCGCTAGATGTCTCAGAAAGTCAGGGTACAGTCTCATTGTCATTCAACTTGTATTTCTTCATTTTGATAAACTTGACCTCACAAAAGAATACTCTGGAGGCCGGACACAATGGCTCACACTTGTAATAATCCCAGCACTTTGGGAGGCCAATGCAGTGGATTACGAGGTCAGGAAATCAAGACCCTCCTGGCCAACATGGTGAAACCCCATCCCTAGTAAAAATACAAAATTAGCTGGGTGTAGTGGTGCTCACTTGTAGTCCCAGCTACTTAAGAGGCTGAGGCAGGAGAACTGCTTCAACCCAGGAGGCAGAGGTTGCAGTAGCCAAGATCATGTCACTGCACTCCAGCCTGGTGACAGAGCAAGATTGTCTCTGAAAAAATAAATAAATAAATAAAACTCTGGAGACATTGTCCAATAACAACACTAACAGCCCATAAATCAATACTCTGAATACAATAACAAAAGAGAATCAGTCTGGGTGCAATGCCTCACGCCTGTAATTCCAGCACTTCGGGAGGCCACGGCAGGAGGACTGCTTGAGCCCAGGCGCTTGAGAGCAGCCTACACAATATAGGGAGACCTCGTCTCTATAAAAAGTTCAAAACTTAGCCAGGTGTGGTGGCACACACCTATAGCCTCAGGGACTCGAGGGGCTGAGGTGGGAGGATTGCTTGCACCTGAGAAGTGGGGGGCTGTAGGGAGCTGAGACTGCGCCACTGCAGCCCAGTCTGGGTGAGAGTAAGGGTAGAGTAGGGTCGGGTAGGGTAGAGTCGCGTAGGGTGGGGGGGGGGGAAGGAAAGACAAGAAAAGAGGAAACGAAAGGAAAGAGAGTGAAACTGACGTCCAAACCTTATCGGAAAATAGGCAAAACGGGTGACTTAAAAATCACTTTACTATCTCCGGCCCTTCACTCCTGAAAATGTACAGACATGCTTCACTGACATTTCACTTTGAAGCAGGACAAGCTACGAAGAAGCACTCACTCCACGAGCTTCCTGCCTCTCACACCTTCCTCTATTCCCAGGAAAGGACAAACCCTAGAGAAGAGGCCCTTCCGGTCCCAAAGAAGTCTGTAGCCCAGGCTGTCCCCACAGGAGGCTGAGCCCTGAGCATGTCCACCTGGGCATCAGCACCAGGATCACCCTAGTCTCAACTCTGGGCTTTCAGACCGAATTCCCAAACCAAGATGCAAGATCCTGGCTGTTCAATTAACATTTTCACTTCCACTTCCCAACAAATCAGCCTTTTGCCTTGGAATCATAGCAAGTGGGTTACTTGGGTGCCCCTTTGCTTTGGCACTGGAGAAGCTTGGGCTGGGTTTCATGAGCAACAGCAGCATTGATGTCAACCTTTGGTTTTGTCATCAATTTCATGTATGTATGACGGCACATGATCTTGTCTTACACTTGAAAGAATTTAAGGTAACTTACAAATATGTAGGTGGAAAACTTGGGGTGGATAGAAAAAGAGTGGGGAACATCTACAATGAAGAGGACCCATGGTTAACACACATGGAAACCACACCCTGGGACTGACAGATGGACGGACGGGTGAACTGACAGAAGGACAGAGAGATGGACAGACGTGAAGATGGAACAAATGACCACACATGTGTTGCATTTCCCAAAAGCTAAGGCAAATGCATGACCAGTCCTGTGATTCGGGAATTTACAGGCGGCGGGCAGAGGCTGTGGCAGGTGCCACCAAGACTCTTGACAACATTCTCATTCCAGCGATGGTTTCACAGACATTCCCTGCTCCCAAGGGACGGCAACGCCATGGCACCAAAGCATCATCAACGAAGATGCAGGGTGAGGTGCGGAGGGCATCTTCAACGAAGATGAAGGGTGAGGTGCGGAGGACATCTTCAACGAGGATGCAGAGTGAGGTGCGGAGGACATCTTCAAGACGACCCAGCGATCGGCCCACAGAGCACTCTCAATTTAGGAAGAAATTTCAGAGTCTCCCAATGGGAGGCCTTGCCCAAAGATCCCTCCTCTAAGAACGTGGCACAGACGCTCTCACAAGATCCTGTGGCAGTGTGCCCGGGGCCGACAGTTACACACAAAGTTACAGGTTGTGAGGTGTGGAGAACTAGGAGATGTGACAGAAACCCACCCTCCTGACACCCCCAAGCATGACACCTCAGACAACACCAAAAATCTTCCAAAAGGTAATTGTAGGTCCACTTCCAGCCCCACAGATCTGCACCGCACAGAAAGGTCCCAGGATTTACATTGGTATATCATTAAAACAGGTGTATCAGACACGAGGTTTAGTCACGAACCCTCTCAGCACAGAAGCATCCACAAACACGCAGCCTTGAGCTATAAAATTTCCTTATGTCTCCACATTTAGCTGTGCATAAACCATAAACCTAGGTAAATACATAGATTAACCTGCTCTGGGGTTAACAGGGCTGCCATCTATAAACGTGCAATTTCCGCTCTGCACAGAAGTGCCTGGCCCAGAAGGAATGGGGCTGACCCTGTTTTCATTCGGGGGTTGCATTTCCTGCATGGGGTCACGCTCTTCCACTCAGCACAAAGACAGCATCTATGCTAGAAGCAGGCCTCATTAAATAAAAGACCTGTGGTCCTAATACTATTGATCCATGCATGCCCCTTGTTCTGGCAGGAATTAAATAGCACAACCAATTTTCCAATAAAAGCATTTCCAGATTATGAAATAAAGCCCTTTTAAGCATGTGAGGAATGTGGCTTTTTTTCTCTTTGGTTGGTGGGGAGGGAAGACGATGCAGGAGAAGAGGCCCCAGCTCACTGAAAGCGGGTATGGAGTCTTTAGAGACCATCATGAGAGGAGGCTCCGGGCGGCTGCCTCCACTTCCTTCCTCCAGCTCAGCCCTGGCTTTGCTTTCACTGTTCTTGCTGCGTGAATCACATCATATGGAATTCTATTTGCACAACCCCAGTTCTTTTTAGAAAGAGAAAAGGTTATTATAAATAATTTTGGTATCTGAGTAAAAAGAAGTTTACTTGACATATTTGGTCTTTCAAAGAAATGAGATCTCATCTTTAATCTTGTATGTGTAAATACCACTCCCTGACCTCCTAAAAACAGGTAAGCACAATCCACACGTGGAGACTTCCCGCCTCTTTCAGCAGCAAACCCGTCTGACCTGCCTGCATTGCTCAGTCCCGGGGTTCCAGCGGCCGTGCCCCCAGCCTCCTCCCACTTCGGCTGCAGCATTCAGGTTCCCAGTCCACACCATGCTGTTCTGTATCATATGTGACCAGAAAGTCACATGTGAATAATTCAGTACATGCAGGGAGGACCTCAAAGGGTATCACACACTGACTTAGCGGAAACCCATATCTGAGACACAGCAAAATATTTGAGAGCTGTGGGACAAGGAAGTCACAGGTGCCTCTGTATCTATTTTATCTTCTGCAAAATGGAGACATATTTTCTATCTCACAGTGGTTACAGGACTAGTCAAGATGAAGGTGAAAGCACCTTATAAGCTAGAAAGCACTCTATAGAGGCAGGTAACATCCACTATTAGTGTAAGAATTCAAACGTAACACAAAGTAACAATGTCATTGTGTACATAGCTTTAGGAATCTTATGCAAGGGAGATGTGAATTAATGAAGTCAAGCCTCAATGCAAGGGAGGTGTGAAGTTAACAAAGTCTCATTTACATGCACACACACTCGCACCAATCCTCACCGCCAGCAGCGTCAACCCTTGTCCTTTCAGACAGGCTTGTAGAAGAAAGGGCAAATGTGTCCACTGATTTTCCTTTATTTGTCCATCATGAATTAAAAGCTCTTTAAAACCTTTAGCTCGAAAGAAATCTAGGGGAATTACAATTACCAAACAGAACCTTTTCTAACGTTTCAACAGTGGTGTCCCTCTGCCGTTTTGAACTAAACCTGCAAACTGCTCTGGCGGCAACGCTGTGTCAACAGTTCTACGTGCTAAAACGTTAATAAAGTACAATTAGCTCTGCCACCCTGCAGCCTTCTAAAATCCTACCTTGTAACACGCATGTACTCAGCATCCAAATATAAATCACAAAAAATATTTGCTCAACTTATGTAGATTTTTAAAAATGAAACACTCTGTTACAAAGGTTACCTGTCAATCCAAGATTTCCTTTTGCCAACACATAACTAGAAAACTTGTCGCCCTACAGGGAGCTACTGAGTGGAGGGAGCACAGCAAGGGCCAGCACCCACTTCAGTGCGGGGAGCCGGCTCCACTCAGCTGGAGACAGCGGGCGGCTGCCGAGAACTCCTCCCAACTCCAGTCCAGGAACTTCACGGCAGCACTTGAAACCGGACCACGGGAATTGGCGAACACTAGAACAGGGCCTCCCTACCCTCGCTCTCTCCCAGCATAGGAAAGGCAGCTGATAAATGCTGACCCAGCACGTCACTGCAGGAACCCCGCTGCAGAGTCAGTAGTTTCCATGAGGTACTTGCAAATAAGCAAACATCAGTCCCACAAACACAGGGCAAGCACGTGGGATCTTTCCACCCAACTTTTATATATAATATGTTTCACAGTCATTTTGCATTCACTGTCAATTAGAAACACAATGTATCTCAAAAATCAAACATGGGACTCCTGCATGCTGTATCTATTTGAGGTTTCACTGTTCAGTTGTCATTATCAAAGTTTACACAGGTAATTACTGCTGCCATATTGCAAAATCAATTCATTCTTGAAACTTCTAATTATTCTTAAAAATCAAACATAGTACTCCTGCATGCTGTATCTATTTGAGGTTTCATTATTCAGTTGTTATTATCAAAGTTTGCACAGGTAATTACTGCTGCCATATTGCAAAATCAATTCATTCCTGAAACTTCTAATTATTCTTGGCAGCAGAATAGGCTGTCTCCTGATGAACTCAGGATAAAGGCTGCATGAGGCAGCTAAGTCCAAAGTCAGAACCCCAGCCAACTGTGCAGCCTAAAGAAAAGAATTTATGACGCTCACAGCTGTATAACCCAATTTTCCCAAATGTCACGGCAATTCTGAAGTGAACATCATTAATAATCAAGGTAAAGGAGTCAGATCCTCTAGGAACTAAACAGCTTCCAGTATTTTCCTTGTTTAGATCTCACTGCCAGGGAAATGTGGATTTGATGGAAGGCTGCCTCTGCTGTGTTCTCCAGCACCCTTCCAACACACATTCTACACACGTCCTATGAAACGCAGATGCACTGCTCTTCCAACACACTTATACATGCATCCCATGAAACACAGAGTCCCCAGAGGAAAATGCACTGCTCTTCCAGCTCACGTTATACACATATTCTATGAAACGCAGATGCACCGCTCTTCCAACACACGTATACACGCATCCTATGACACACTTATACATGCATCCCATGAAACACAGAGTCCCCAGAGGAAAATGCACTGCTCTATTCCAACACACATTATACACGCATCCTATGAAACACAGAGTCCCCAGAAGAAAATGCACCACTTAGGCCAGGCCGTATCTTCACCATGGAGCCAAAGTTCCCACTCCTCCAGTTAAAGGGTTGGAAATACTAAAGCAACTGTAAGACTTCTCTGTTGCTAAGAGGAAAACCTGCCTATAAAACTTTAGACAGGTTCCCTTTCAACTAGAAAACAGTAAATCATTATGAAAGGAAGTTTGTGAAGAAGTCGCTGCTCAAATAAGGTTTCCAACTCTGTCCAGGAATGGGCAGGCATCTTGGACTATTTTAACTGCACAAAGTCCTTGAGTTCCACCAGAAACTCAGCAGCCTGAATCCAGCGGCAAGTGGACCTGCCTTCAGCCAAAATGTGGTGACAGGTCCAGGACGCTGTGCCCAAGGCCTGCTCTGTTTGGCGGTTCTTTTTATAGCCTGCTAATCCAAAAAGGGTGCCAAGGAGGGAACGCCCCAAGGACACCAATCCTAGTAAAAGATGGTGTTGGATTCAAGCCAGAGGCAGCTTCGAAAATCCCAGACACTCGTGACATCGCCCTTCCCCGTAATGACCTTTCGTCACAGAGTTGCTCCACCTTCTTGTGGATCTCAGCTTCAAAATTCATGCCAGGCAGGTTGCAAACCAAAGGCCTATGAAAGGCCAATCAGGTCACCAAAGCAGGAAAAGGGAAGAACGCTTAGAGGTAAAGACAGACATAAACGTGTTTTGTGTTTTTTCAAAAGGCTGAAAAGCTACAGATGCATTCATGTGTGTGCCTTCATGAAAAGGATGGTCTCTTTGGTCACGTTCCCCTCCACCAATAAACACACTTGCTCAGAGCAAACAGCCAAGACCGTATGGAAAAGTAATCAATGGAATTCCCTCTGACGCTTCATGTCGCTGGCTAAAATCATCACAAGTAATTAAAATAGCAAGATAAAATGATAGTATATTTATCTTTCACAAACAGCCATGTTTAATTCAGAAACGTGGGATGTATAAAGTTAATGGAGTATAAAGCATTTCTAAAATAAGTAAAAACCAAACAAGAAAAATGTGATGATTCATCCCAAGGTTAATCTCCTTTCTACTGTGGTCAAGCACTCACAACACAGACTTCGCCATGGCAGTGGCGCCTGAGGTTCAGTGGCATTCGCCACATTCTCACTACCAGGCAGCCGTGCCCACCCTCCATCTGCAGACTCGTTTCATCTCCGCTATGGAAACTTGGTGCCCACTGCAAAGTCAATCTCCTTAATGAGAAGTTGTGAAAACTCTTCCCCAAAACCATTTAAGGTACAAGAAAATTACAGTCACCCTCAGGAGGACCTTTACATGCCACTGAAATGCAAAAGCAATCAGTGAGAACCTCCGCTGTGTTGAGATCTGAAGACATTTCCAAACAAGATCTCCTAAATAATGAAGCAGCTTTGGGCATACTACAGCACATTATGTAATAGAAACTGGAATTCTCCCAATCTTTCCATTCTGAATGGAAAAGACATTCCTTTCCTTACCCACACTGAGTGTCAAAGCCCAGGGTCTTTCACAGCTGACATGACAGTGAAACATTCTGTAACATAAAAACAGTTTTGAGGAAATTGCCCAGCTAACATCCTCCACATTGAGGCCCCAGTGTAAGGCAGCTCTCTTGGTTCCACAAATGGATTACTTAGAGTCTCATGAAAAGCAAATAAAATGTCTCCAGTTGGCAATGTTTTCCAAATTAACTTAAAACCATTTACAGAACAAATTATAAAAAAAAAACATGAAAAATTCATTTCCATACTTAATACCCACAGTACAGTAGTTAGCTTTTAATTTATTTTATCATTATTCCTGATGTTTCTCAGAATCAGAGAAATGATTCACCTGAATCCGGAAAATTAATTTCTCCCTAGAAATTCTACGATGCTGATGGTGATGGACAAATCACTGCAAAAATCTTTGTTTTTACACATGTGACTTTTTCATATATTTTCACTCATAACCAAGACTTTCAGAAAATTAAAAGAGGCTCAAAACTATTTGACACACTCAATGGGCTTCCGTGGAAGCCGTGAATGCGCTCAAACTCACAGCTGAGACACACTTGACTGGGTCAAAGAAAACAGGAACAGTTCCATCAGTATCACCAGTAATGTCATCCATCCCTGCTCACAGCTGAAAAATGAAGATTGTAGTTTTCTCAAAACACCTGGTATTCTACTCTGGAATGTATAATATAGATGTTGGCTACTGAGATATCATTCTTAGCGGTGAGTCAACAGCAAATCCCAACAAATTAAATTCTTCTGATTACTATAGAAGCGTCTTTGTTATTAACTTGTTATAGCTAGAAAACAAGTAAGAAAATGGCAGCAAACCTCTGTTTCATACCCAACAAAAATATCCTGGAACACAAATACATACTTGACAGCACACGATTGATTTTAGAAATGAATAAACTGTAAAAGAGCCCCTCACATGAAAGAGGTGCCTTCTCTATACTTTCCTCAGGACTTGCAATTTCTCTAATAAAAATAACTTAA